GGTACTTTGAAGGATCTACCCACCTGTGTGTAATGACTTACAAGACAAAGTACTTTGAAGGATCTACCCACCTGTGTGTAATGACCTACAAGACTACGTAATTTGAAGGATCTACCTACCTGTGTGTAATGTCCTACAAAGCTGGATATTTTTAAGGAAACGCCTACCTGTGTGTAATGACCTACAAGGCTTGGTATGTTGGAGGAACCACCGTAGGTAAAGTTCTGGTGCTCTAAGTACCAAATTTTGATTGCAAAGAACCACGGAACTTTCATGTTAGCAATGAAAATGTTTTGCCCACAGGATCCATATTCTGTAGTTAAAAAAGTTAAATTCATCACGTTATTCAATTTTTATTGATTTCTGATATTAAAATTTTAATTAGGGAAAGGAAAAGTTTATTTAAAAAGTGTATATAAAATGGAATGATAATACTTACTTTTACTTTAGAAGTTATCTTGGAAAGTATACTTTGTTATTATTTAAACTTATATTCTGATATGTATTGTTCATAGTCATATATCGAGATTGAAACTTTCGAGCTCAAATTAGTTTGTAATCATAACTATACAATAAGACTTGAAAGAAAAAAAAATAACGTTGATATTGAAAATGTGAATATATCCTAAATTGAGAAACCAGAAATGGCCTGAAAGGTCTATAGAGTTGAAGGTTAATTTTGTTCTACCTTCCACCCATCTTCCTGTTGTGTTGTCATGGGTTAAGTCCTTACAAGTTTCTGCCCACCTCTGGGCGTCTTCCGCTGCTCCCTGGTGCCAAGTCTGAAAGTGACAAAATGTCTGATGAGATTTTAGAAACCTGTACTCATTAATTAAATGCCTTAGATAATTGTCTTGAAAGTTACCACATGATAATACTTATTTCACACATTTTAGGTGATAAAAAGTCTGAAGTAATACTCAATATGAAAGTTGTGCAATTAACAAAGCACAACATATTCTGTAAGTGCAAGTATATGAAACAGCCCACAAAATTTTAATTTACACGCAGTTTTTTGTCCGGATTTATGCGTATGACAATCTATAGTTTGAAAACGCGTCCTGTGAACGAGAGTGCAAGACAGACTTTATATGTATTAATGCTAGAACTTGTGTCAGTGTCACATGGCAGCCAGTGAAAAGCTTAAGGCTTCGTTTAACCTAATATATATTAAAGAGTCCAGAATGAGGAAATGCTACTTTCGTTGCTTCGTATAAACTGCATGTACATCGTAATTTCTTATACTTTATAACTTAAACTCTGAACAGCCTATGAAGTATCTTAAAGACATGAAAAAAATAGTGTGTAACATTATATGAAGTTGACAACTTAACATAGAAATACAAATATTTATTAATCACGTGATCGTATAACTGTTTTAGAAAAAACATAGTGAAATCTTCTTATAGGTATGCTTATAAAATCTAAAAAATACTGTTATCATAAATTGTAGCAAGCTTAGAAAGAAACATTATCACCAGATACTAGCCAGCTAGGTTTTTCCTGGACTCTATTAACTTAGCACTGAAGCTAGCTAAATAATCTTTTTTTTCTTCTGTTATGTAAGGTATTCTTTCAAATCGTTCCATTTATTGGAACAAAAGATTGAGCAAACAGATGTAATGTGATAATTAGTTAAGATTTTGAGCACTAAAAGAAACAATAAGCTAGACGTTGGTACAGATGGTGTCTCATATTCTACAATCTACAGTGTCAAATGAGCTATATAGAGAATTCACACAGAAGGTAAACTAAACTAAAACTTTTAGTGTCACACGTAAAAACAGATATTCTAAATATCACGTTAAATTTCTTTCGTAAACTCCTTATTACGTTAAAAAAAGAAGAGAAAACCAATCAACAAATAAAAAAGTGGGTGTACTTAAGTCTCATTACGTTCTACTGCCGATATCAGAAACAGCTGACCAAACCTATAAGGCCGAGTGTGGCCCAGTGAATGGAGTGCCAGACAATAGATCTGTGGGTCCCTCAGTCGCGTCCCATTACTGAAAAAGATAAATTCATCGTGCTCCGTACATGGGGGCCATAGGTGCGACATAATGGTGACGGTCAAATACTACTGTTTGGTTAGACAAAGTAACCCACAAATTGGCGGTGGGTGGTGTTAACTAGCTGCCTTCTTCTAATCCTTCACTTTAAAATTAAGGACGGCTAGCACAAATAGAATTTGAGTGTCTTTTCGCGAGTATCCAAAAAACAAATAAACAAACAAACGAAATTGCCAAGATGCGACTTACCATCTCGAGCATATCATTGGACTTACCATCTCGAGCATATCACTGGCGGATGGTTTCACTCGGCTGCGAAGAAAGTTATGAAATAGCACAATCTTTTTCTGAGTGCTTACGTGTCGAGTTTCCAAATCTCGCTTGTAAATAGCGTCTCCAAGAAGTTTAGGACCTGTTTGGTATAATTGCGAATTATATTTCGGATAAGCCTACATCAAATTATGAAATAAATCATAAAGATTGAAACAATTAGTAGCGTCTTCAGTTATCTTTCAAAAACCAAGTCAACACTGATGACCTTACAGATCAAAGTCAATAATAATGACATTTCCTAGACTTTCGTTCAATGTTTATAAAGAACTACACACGCTTTGAAATAAAGGATACACTAGCAGTTAAAGAAGTAAAGAAGAGTAGAGTAGCTATTAAAACAGTAAAACAAAGAGTACATTAGTAACTGAAACAGCAAAACAAAAACATACTGGTAACGAATAAAACAAACAGTATACTACTGCTTAAAATAGTAAGACAAAGGATATACTAGTAGTTAAAGCAGTAAAACAAAGGATATACTAGTAGTTAAAGCAGTAAAACAAAGGATATACTAGTAGTTAAAGCAGTAAAACAAAGGATATACTAGTAGTTAAAAGTTAAAGTAGTAAAACAGAGAGTATACTAGTAGTTAGTAGTTAAAGCAGTAAAACAAAGGGTATACTAGTAGTTAAAAGTTAAAGCAGTAAAACAAATAGTATACTATTATTTAGTAGTTAAAGCAGTAAAACAAATGGTATACTAGTAGTTAGTAGTTAATTCACTAATACAAAGGACAAGATGGTTTTACTAAAAGGCAATGTAGTGAATCAGGTTTCACTAAAAGATAATACAGTAAAACACAAGGTTTCATTAGAAAAGAGCATAGTGAACTAAAATAGTTCACAATAGAAGACAATACAGTAAACTTGAAGGATCATTAAAACAATGCAGTAAACCTGAAGGATCATTAAAACAATGCAGTAAACCTGAAGGATCATTAGAAAACAATACAGTAAAATACAAGGCTTTGCTAGAAATCAGCACAGTAAAACAGGAGGTTTAATTAGAAAGCAGTATAGTAAATAAGAAAGTGTCTGTAGAAACTAACCCAATCATCCAAAAGGTTATACTAGAAACTAACCCAATCATCCAAAAGGTTATACTAGAAACTAACCCAATCATCCAAAAGGTTATACTGGAAAGTAACACAATTAACCTCAAATGTTCACTAGAAATAAACAGAATAAATGAGAAAGTATCAATAGAAAGTAATACGGTAAAGCAGGTTTCGTTACAAACTGCGTTCAACTTACTTCTACTAGTTGAAAATTTAGAGAACCAATTGAATTTCACTTTAAACATTTTCACAACGTGGGTCAACATAAATACATTTTCTAATTTTACTACTTGCAAATAAATAAAGAGAAGAGTGTCTACTTACGTAAACGTTTTGACAAGGCCAGTGTCCAAAAGGTTGATATGATGACCGACGCTAATATCGAAATGGTGATCTTCATGTTGGTAATGGTCAGTCACAGTTTTGAAGGTCTTGCTTTACGTTATCTTGTGGTACAATTCTTTAATGTTGTGAACTTCCACTTTGATAATCTAGAAGCCAAGCCCGTTTTCCCAGCAGCTAATTGGTAGGCTCAAATAGCTCCGACTCGAACTGATTCTTAGACCAATGTTTTAGCTTTGCTACAGACGTCGGTCTCGAGAGCTTATAAAGTGCGATTATGTTGTCGAACCCAACCTTACCAAGTCTTTAGTTCTCCTGTGTATGTGTGCGAAAAGAAATGTTTACACATTGGTGAAATTCAAATGTTTTAAATTCATATAATAAAGCAAACGAAACATAAAATTACTCTTTTAACTGCTAAACATGGGAATTCACTTCTATAAGAATTGCTCGCCAATAGTTCGAAATCCACCTTCCCCCGAAAGAGAAACTTTGGGGAACAGGAAGGACTTACCTGTAACTTTCATTAGTTCCTGTTTTTTAATGTGAAGCTTATATGGTGATTATTAATCGATTTTAGTGTTTCAGGAGTGCCTCTGGTGTTGTCATCATTAAACTGATTCCAAATATAATACTTTCAAATGTGTTAAAATAAAACTTAACAACATGTATAAAAATAATGACCTTCTAAACTTCATTTTGTCTTCCACATAAACTCATAATAAAATAGGAAATTATTACAAAAAATGTTTCAATGCAACATACTCAACTCTCCTGTCCAACTTGAAAGTGAACGCTTGTGTTTTCAGCCTGGGTATTATATAACGTTTGGCTTAGTCAGAGCCCTGAGAGTCAATGAGTTTAACTTTCCTTCGTCGGTATTTATGTAAAGTGTACTGTATATATTGAGGAAAGCTAGTAGAGGATGAAGATTTGGCAAACATCCAGAAATAATTTGAGCTGATTATTAAGGCTATTTGTATAGGGATGAATGTTTATTTCTCTTGCAAGGATTAATACAAAAAATAAAAACATACAGAAGAATAGAGTTATATTATAAATTAAATAAAAGCTACTCATTGAAAATATTATTCTAAAAACAGATATAAGAATAGAAAGATATGACAAAGGTCTAGTAAAACTTAATATTCACAAACACAATTTTAAAAACAACATATAAACAAGGATATCACATCGATCTAGTAAAAACTACTTCTTACAGACATTATTATCACCACAATACACAAAACAAATATATCATTCTAATTGAAGACTCTTCTTTCAAATGCTCCTCGGTTGGCTTAGCGTTAAATTTGAGGGTTTATAATGCTAAAAGTCGTGTTTCGGTACCCGAGCTGATCAAACACAGATAGCCCATTGTGTAGCTTTGTGCTTAAGAAAAAGGCCCGGCATGGCTAGGTGATTAGGGAGATTGACTCGCAATCTGCGGATCGCGGGTTCGAATCTCCGTTCCACCAAACATGTTCGCCCTTTCAGCCGTGAGGGCGTTATAATGTGACGGTCAATCCCACTATCCGTTGGTAAAAGAGAAGCCCAAGAGTTGGCGGTGATGACTAGCTGCCTTCTCTCAAGTCTTTCATTGCTAAATTAGGGACGGCTAGCGAAGATAGCCCTCGTATAGCTTTGCGCGAAATTTAAAACGAACAAACAATGCTTAAGAAAAAACAAACTAAATCCCTAGAAATATCATTTTGGAAACAATGTTTAATTTAAAATCTTCGCATAAAGCTACAAAAGAGCTATCTTCGCATGATTATCTCTAATTTTAACTGATAAACAATAGGAAAAGCAGCTAGTCAACATCACCCACCGTCAACTCTTGTCTGACCGAATAGTAGGACTTGACCATCACTCTTATAGCACATCCACGCCTCAATGTGCAGAACACACTTCTGCGGCAACAAGTCACGAACCATAAATCTTCGGATTCATAATCCGGGCACAGTAGGCTACATCTAGCTAAAAATTAATATGTATTATCAATTTGACCAAATATTAACGTATATAGTATTAATGTAATAAACGTTATCCCATTTAAACATTATTGTAAACAAAAGTAAAAGTTACTCCAACCATAAGATTTAGATCAGTTATAGTTAATCAGTACTTATCTAGTGTGTTTGCCACACCAGAACCTATTTATCTTATCAACTGTTCCACCATTAACGAGCTAGTTCACTATTAAACCATGACATTAATTACTTGTTCAACAGCACTATCATATTGTTGTGCCAACATATTATCTTAGTCTATGAGCTAAAAAGCCACCATTCTTCATCTTCTCGGAAAAACCCTAAAGATCCGAATAAAGAAAGTCGTGTTTAAAATTGCAATAATCCCTGGGATTATTGTCTTATGACAAATACAGCTGATTAAAATATTATAATACATCGCTTAGCTTTACTTACCTCTGTGGATGCCAGGTTGAGCGCGTACCTTTTGCTGTAATGATTTTATCTCTGATGATTAGGTTTTATTTTAGTTTATCAATGATACTCAACTAGTAAATGTTGAGCCAAAAACTGAGTAGGGCTAAGCTGTGATGAGAATTTTTAGTTTTCTTTCGAATAATTTTGTTTGTTTTTGTTTCATGCGAACATGATAACTCAAGATAGAGAAATATACTTAACTCTAAAGAACAAAAGAACCAATATTATGCCCACTGTGATTATTTGAAAAATATACAGTGGAAGCTCGTTTTTGTTGTTGTTGTAATCACCGTTTAGCGAAGAATAAATGTTATATGATAAAAACATTTCTATCTACATTAACCAGGGATGGCCTAAATAAAATTGTAGCCTTGGCCGATGTAATAAATCTTAATTGTCATCAGTCATATCTTCAAACTGTAGTCAAGGTCGTACGTTTCCATGACGACTTAAACAGTAAAACCAAAGCCAAGTGATCCCTACTCTAGTGCCTTTCTGAAAAAGTGGTGCTCAAGAGGTTCAGGACAGCTAGCTGTACCGTCGTGTAACTTGACATGACGTATTGATATATAATTTGCTTGAAACCGACACTGCTCAAATTAACATGTTTAGCACTGAATATTTAGGCCACACGTCTGTTTTAAGAGCGCTTTTCTCTCATATTACGCCCGATGAAACCTTTGAAATGCTGTCTTTCGACTAGTGCACATGCAAGGCTGAGAGCTCCATCTTAAGTATATGAATATTGCTTCAAATTTCCTCATAAGTTAGTGACATTATCTTGATGATACTGAATATAAATGAAGCTCATGAAATGATTATTCATGGCAGAGATTTGGTTATTTAGTCAAAACGTGCACCTCCATTTACGCTGAGATTTTTTTTTAGTAAAATATTATATTTATATATTTTTAGTTTTACTTGTTTTTGTTAGATATCTATAATATTTTAGTGCGACCATCAACGTAGAGCCAAATAACTATTTGTAGATTGAGAATCGATCAAAATGTAGTGAGGAACAGACCAAATTGCTATATGTGTAACTTTGTAACGATCGTTTTACATGTGTATTTTTGAACTAAATTTGCAGATGTTTACAAACCGACATTCAGTTCGTTTCTGAACCCCCAACTTTCGGTAAATAAGTAAAACTCTCTTTCTCTAGAGGTGATTGTTTGAATCTCTTTTCAGGGATATTGTAATAGTTTCTAAACACCTAGAATGAAAATTAACCAACTTATGGCTGTTTGAAAAGACTCCAGAAGTTACGGAGTTGTAGGAGTATATTACACGGTTAGTGACACTCTGTCGTCGGGATGTCACATGCAGATAACATACGATCATTGTCGAATCGTTAAGAAAATAAAAGCGTAGTGCTCGACACACAAGCCGGTCGTGGTTATTAACCTCTGCTAAACACTTAACAGATGCGACAAACGAAGTTTTGTTGTTGTTTTTAACTATCAAACAAGTCACCAAAGATTATCTTTACCCATGAGATTATAATAAATGCAATAATTTAAACAAAGAAAACATTAAATAACAATTTTAGATTAGAAAAGGTTTTCGAAACAAATGAGATATATATACACATAAAAATAACATAACAGCTATTATCAAACATCTCTTCAAAGTGATAACACAAAAAACAATCAATTTGTTTAGTAACTAGCCATATTACTCCATTGTTTCTACAAATTAACCATAGAACAACGTTATCCCCTGGTGGCTCGGCAGTAGGTCTGAAGGATTATAACGCTGAAAGATGTGTTTCGATACCCGTGATGGGCACAGTACAGATAGCTCATTTTGTGACTTTGTGCTTAATAACAAACAAATAATAACTTTAATGTCTTTACGTATAAACCAAACAAACAACCACTTTATCTGAGGACTCACCATAGTAGACCATCGTTTGTACAAACTAACAAAAGAAGAATGTTAATATCTCTACGAGTTACCTATCAGAAAAACCACTTTATCTAAGGACTCACCATAGTAGAACATGAACTAATCACAGAACAACATTTAATGTCTGTATGTAGTAACATACAAGATTACCACTTTATTTGGAAGCTCAGCATAGTATATCATCACAGAGTTTGTAGAATCTGTATTTTGGGATGGCCAAGGTACTCAATAGACATAATGCAAATATGCACCCTAAAAAATCAACAGTGACAGAGAATTTTACCTTAAACGATGATTACCACTCACTTTCATTTGTTTCTCTACCCAACAAGCCCAAAAATAAGGCAAGAAACCATTGCTAAGATATTAAACCAGAAAGTGACCAACCCACCAAATTGTTCATTTCCCTTCTTCTTGTTTCAATCAAGATAATTCTGCAACTACTTTATGACTGACGTTAGTTTAAACCTAAATTCACCCCTATGTGTTTCTGGGTAGTGCACGGTGTCATTGCTTAGTCGTAATAACTGGTAGTAATTTAAAAAAATCATAATTCCAGTGTAAACGATGTTATCATTATCCCTTGAAGTTAGCTTTCTTGTAGAAATATGGTGTTACTTTAAAAAAGCTTAAGTACAGGGTGAAACAGGAATTACAGTCAATAATACATGAACATTAGATAACTGTAACATGTAGAATACTCAATGCTTTGTACAATATACAATAGGTGTCTTTATGTGTAAAATGAACGAGTACAAAAAGGTCACGAGGTCGTAGCGAGAGTCTGTAATAATCAAGACATGTTTAGACTCAACTTGGTTTTCCTGATACGTAAATCCTAGGCTCCTAGTTACACTATATTGATGCTTACCCTGACATGACCATGGTATTATGATAAACAATCTGCATACCAACAGTCAGGAATACATAACTTCCAAGTGCAGTAATATGAAAGTGAAGTACATATTTTAGTGTAACATTAAATTTTAATATTGAAAGTCATGTAGTGTTGTTTGTTGTTGTTTATTATTAAGCACAATGCTACACAAAGGGCTATCTGTGCTCTGCCCACCACGGGTATCGAAACCCGGTTTCTAGCGGTATAAGTCCGCAGACATACCACTGTGCTACGGGGGGTCGTCATGTAGTGATAATGTATGTATAACTGTATCATCCTTATATTCTTGTTTGGATTATTTTTGGCACTGCCATCCCTACATTATTTTACATTTACAATAATGTTTTTTATTAGTTGTTGCTTATACAAACTCACCATAGTAGGTCATTGTTTGTACAAACTCACCATAAAACACAAATACTGTTTGTATGTAGTAAGACACCAGACAATCACTTTATCTAGAAACTCACCATGGTAGAACATTGTTTGTACAAACTAATCATAGAACACACGTAATATCTCTATTTAGTAAGCCACCAGACAATCACTTTATCTAGAAACTCACCATGGTAGAACATTGTTTGTACAAACTAATCATAGAACACACGTAATA